AAAAGTTAAAAAAAGAAAGAAAGAAACACCTCATCGGTCAACAAGAGTGGCCTGATTTACAGAAAAGATAGGCTTAAGTTTCAGCAAAGACAAGAGTTAGGGGCGTGCTGTCAACCACACAACTCCATTTATTTCATTTAACAGAACACAAAAAAATACAAGGAGTAACACTGTCCCTTACCTTGCCACATATTACTCAAAAAATATTTTTTAAGCTTTTTTTTTGCTGCAATTGAAAATGTGAAGAATATTGAGTGGTACATGTTTTTGTGAGTCTATGTATGTGTGGATTATAGAAAAGTGAGTTGCAGAAATAGTATGTATCATGCAATGTAATATGTAAATAATAACAGAAAACTAAATAAAAGATTGATATTTGTAAGTATATGAGTGTTTATGAGGAATGTATAAAGAATGTTCAACAACAAACTTCTCATTAGGGAAAAGGGTGGTCATTGACTATCACTTTCACTTTTATTTATTTATGAATTGCTAAAAACATGTTTGGAATGACAACAACAAAATATTGGGAAGAAGGATAAGGTTCTAGACCCTGTTTATACTCCCACTCACCAGCTTTTCCTTCTTCCTCAAACAGATGGCACTGACAACAACAGCAATGGTAACAATATTTCCATTTCCTTTTCAAAAACTAAGATTTCTTTTTAATACAACCTTTTATTTTTCCAGTAGATTCTGAATATTTTGCATGTGAGTGAAAATATGAGTTCAGTTTTCATATTTAAGTTTGAAATCTTGGAGGTACTAGTTAATTGGCTACCTTAGCTAGAAAACCTCTTTTGCCTTCCAAAAGCTGCCTAAAGACCTTCATTAGAATTTTTGAAAGAAAAAAGGCTACCATATTCTGCAATGCCTGGAAGTTCCCATTTGAAGCTAGCATTCAGAACTATAGAATATTCAATATGGAAGGAGCTAGATATAATCTAGACCCATTACCTCATTATAGATAAGGAAACTGAGGTTTGGGAAAGAGAAGTGGCTTGACAGCTAGCCACTATCAGAACTGAAACCAAAACCTGGATTTCCTTCCTCCTTGATTAGTGTCTTTCTCATGACACATCACCCACACTGTTCTTTAAAACTTGAAAATTTTGGGAAGTTTTAGAAGAGTCTAAATGTGTCCTGATGCAGGATAACATAAGGTAAAGTGTTTATAAATCAAACTTCTGCAAAATTCTTAATGTCAATAGGTGGTATTATTTCAATAACCATAGCCAAAGTAAACAGACTGTGGCATGGGTCAAACCACAAAATCTATTTCAATTCCTTGTTCTTTTGGTCCTTGAGTCTATCTATTCCTTCCTGTTTTTTGGAGTTATTCCCTCTCTGTCACCCCCTTAATTGTTTTATATGTGCCTCTGTAGGTTTGTGTTTCTGAAGTCCCACATACCTTCATTCTCAGTATTGCCTCAGCCCAGTTAAGATGCTTTGGAGGTACTATAGGTTGCAGAACCTAACTCCACTCGTGGGCAGGACCACTCTCAGAAAGCTAATCAGAGAGTAGCTGGCACTGAGTACTGTTGGAGGAAATTTCCAACACTGAAGACTGGCTCAATTAAAAATCCATGACTACCAATCTTAGTGGGTCCTTAGCATTGCTTTGCAATTGTTTTACAGTTGCTTAGGAGCTCTGGTAGCATAGTGCCTAAGGCATTTGACTGCTAACCAGAAGGCCAGCTGGAAACCCAAGGAGGGGTCACTATGAGTTAGATCTGACTCTCAGCAGTGGGTAGAATCCTTGGTAATCTTTTTACATATAAACAGTAGCTCTTTTTCCCATTCACCACAATGGCTATTTCCAACCTTGTCTGGTGTCCTTTAGCTTTCTGCTATCACCTTCACTCTCTCTTTTTCAGTAGATGAAACTGACTCTTCCTTCTCCAAGAAAATCAGGGCCATCAGAAATAAATTACTTCAACTTTCTTACTCAGTATCTGGAAACTGACCTGCATATGCAACCCTCCTGCTTTCAGTTCTGAGGAAGAGGTGTTCCTCATCTACTGGAGTGCCAACTGGATCATTCAGGACTGTCCCTTGTAAGCAACTGTAACAAAATCTATTTATATTAAGTAAATAAAAGGAATTTACTGAAAGGAAAATAGAAACTTGTCAGCACATCCCACTGCTGTGATGAATGGAACCCAACCATCTCCTCCGTGTGTCCTTTGTTCAGTATTCAATCAACATCTCTGAGATTCTAATTGGTCAAACCTACATCACATGCTATCTCAAGATGAGAAAAAGGAGGATCTAATCCCTTTGGTTTATGTGATAGAAAGCAACTTTCTATTAAGACTATTCTAAGTAGGGACTTCCCCAAGGAAGAATGAGGTAGTAAGAGGAAGGGGAAGGAGAGCGGATCCTGGACCATCAGGACAAATAGCTACTATTCCTTCATAACCAAAATTCTCTTAAAAACAAATAAATATATATTAGTAGTAATTCATTAGAACATTTTGTTATTTCTGCTCTGTTTTTACCCAAATGCTATCAAACTTTTGTCCCCTAATCCCAACTCTGAAATCACCCAGGCAAAGGTCCTTAATAGGTGCCTTTAAATGATTGAAAGAACTCGTTCTGGACCCTTTTTCTACAACACTTAGTACTATAGACTTCTCCCTTTTTGAAGATCTGCCTTCCCAGTACTTCTCTCTTCTGCTTTCACTTCTTTAGCCCTTCCTACCCAATCTTCTTTGTCAGCTACTCTTCCCTTGCACAATCTGTAAAAGCTGTTGTGTGCCAAGTTTCTGTCATTAGCCCTTTTCTCCTTCCACCCCTTCCCCTCTCTTCTTCCTTTCCCTCGCCTACTCTTTTTCTTTTTTTTACTTAACACTCTTAAAGTCAGAGAGATGTTACCCACATTTTCACTAAATTTAGAATTTTTGGATGGGTTTCACACAGAGCTTCATAAACAAAAGGGAAAACATAACACTTAACACACTTCGCAAAAGGGGCGTGGAGCAGGCGTCTTCTAACCTCCTCTGTTGCTAGGTGCGGTCAAGTTGGACCCGACTCATAGTGACCCCTCCTTGGGTTTCTGAGGCACCCCTCCTTGGGTTTCTGAGGCGGTATCACTACGGAAGTAGATTGCCCCATCTGCCTTCCGAGGAGTGGCTGGTGGTTAGTAGTCAGCCTTCTGGTTAGTAGTCAGCCTTCTGGTTAGTAGTCAGCCTTCTGGTTAGTAGTCAAGTGCCTTAGGCACAACGCTACCAGAGCTCCCAATCCAAGGGCATTGGGGGGGGGGGACTATTACAAGAATGGACGTAGGGAGTGGATGGAATGGAATAGGGGAGAATTGATTCACTCCACCTAGGGGGCATAACAACGGAGCTCTGGTAGCGTAGTGCCTAAGGCACTTGACTGTTAACCAGAAGGCTGGCGGTTGAAATCCATCAGCCATTCTTCCGAAGGAAGACGGGGCAATCTACTTCTGTAGTGATACTGCCTCAGAAACCCAAGGAGGGGTCGCTATGAGTCGGGTCTGACTCCACGGCACATAACAACAGCAGGGGCATAACAAAGGAGTTCTGGTGCCTAAGGGATTTAACTGCTAACCCGAAAGTTCATGGTTCAAACCCACAAGCCACTTTGTGGAAGGACGACTGGGCAATCTACTTCCGTAAAGATTTACTGCCTCAGGGTCACTAGGGGTGGGAATCCACTTGATCCGCAGTGAGTTTGTTTTTTTAGTTTAGGGGCATAACAAAACAAAACAAACACACAAAACCTGAGAAGTTGTTTTGTATGATTCTGGAGTGGGGATGAGCACCTGTCCAGAGCAGCAGACAGCAGGCAGCTATGCCAGCCCCTGTCTCCACTCTATGCCTGCCACACATCACTTGCTGCTGGCTATCTCCTGTTCACCTCTGAGATTTTTCTAAATTGGGTGTGATCTGTCCCAGATGCCCAGGAACCCCTGGGGAGCTCAGTCTCTGGGTGGTAGTGCCAAGCAGACATTTGGTTTTCTATCTGAGCCCCAGACTGATGTAAGAGTAAATGAAGTGGGGTAAGGAAGTGTGCATGTTTAGGAGATCCAAAGAGAGGAGAGGAAATTAACAACCTTACCACTTCCTGGTTACTTCCTTTTCGGGTAAGAAACGCTAGCACTCTAGTTACTGGACTCACAGACCAGCCCAGGCCTTGGGGCCCTGAGAGGACTAAGCTAACTGGAGCTACTGTGGTTCAACACAGCCCTGATAACACTGTGATGAAGGTGAAGATTTCCTGTCCTTTCCCCCACACCCCCACCCCTATCCCTTTTAAAAATTTGTTTTAGCCTTTCCATGGAGTCTCCTCCCCACAGGGGACCATTTCTCTCCCATAGCCTGGATTTCTTCTAATTCACACTAAAAAGTTAGTAACATCTGTGGATTTAGCTCTAGGTACATATGCATTTTGAATTTTGAAAGAAACCTTTGGTGGAAATTATAGTGGGGCAAAAGACACTTCTAGTGATCTAAAGATTTTAAAATACCACTTTCCTTACAGGCAGGTTCTAGGCTGAATGGAGATGGGTCTGGGCCAGGCAGGAGACAACCATCTGGATATGTGTGTGAGGGTCTGAGGTAGAAAGGAGGGACCACTCAGGGAATGGCTCTCCCTTTGGTCTCATGCTATTTTATTCTTGGCACTGGGTGGGTCCAAACCCAGGAGGTGGGGTCAAACATCCAAGGATTCTGAGGGTACCCTCTGTCAGAGCCTCATAGATGCTCAGCTCTAGACTTATGTCAAGCAAAGGGGAGCAGACCCACTTCAGCTTCTCTGCCAGATTCTTTCCTTCTGCTTCCTGCCCTATCATGGGGCTCACTTGTCAGAATTTGGATTCAGGAGTCAGATGATTCCGGAGTCAGTTCCGGAAAAGGAACCTAGTGATTAGTGGACTGAGAGGGAGGAGGCTGTTTATTTGTTTACTTCCTCTTTTCTACATCCCTTTAGGTCTCCAGATAGCTGTGGTGATTTATCCACTCTAACGCAGCAGCATGTGGCCACTGCTGCCACCAACGGCTCTCCTACTTGTAGGTAAGTCAGTCACCCTGGCTGAGAAAGAAGCTCAAGGTGCTGTAGGTTCAGCAGAGTCTTCTTTTCAGGCGAGGGGTGGAACCCCCAAGAAGGGATGGGACTCCTCACCAGATGTAACTTAGCTCTTTAGCTCTTAGGGAAAGCCAGCTGGGAGGTAGAAAGATAACAAGTCTGGGTCTGATTTGACGTAATCAGGAGGTGAAGGGAGACTGTAAGTGTACTTCATCTTTTTGGCGTCAGTTTCCTTATCTGTGAATTGAAATTGTAGTTATTAGCTGTTATCAAGTCAGCCCCTGGCTCATGGGGACCCCATATGTTAAAGAGTAGAAAAGCTCCATAGAGTTTTCTTTGCTATAACTTTTACAGAAGCAGATTGCCAGGCCTTTCTTCCATGGAACCACTGGGTGGGTTCAAACTTCCAACCTGTAGATTAGCAGCCAATCACAAACCACTTGCAAAACCTGGGCCCCTATAAACTGAAGGGTGTGGACTCAATGTCCTTAAGGTCTGTCTCTTCCATTCTGACACTCCTGAGTACCCCTTCTATGACTTTTAACCTCTATTTTTTCAGGGCCCTTGGATGAGGTTATGCCTGTGGCTTGATTCAGGGAAATTCAACCCATACCCTTAACTTTTGAGTTTGAACAGAGCAAGGATTAAGGGAATGGTGCTGAAAATAGGACAGTGGGGCAGGAGGCACAAACATTGGAAACAAGAGGACAGCAGGAGAGGTGTCCACTATGAATGTATTGACTCTTGGGAGCTTTGGGTTCCTAGGACAGGGATGGGAGGAGAGTTTAAATTCATTTGACACCCAGTCTCCTACTCAATATTTGATTTACTCTTTTTCTTTCTTTTTTTTTTTTTTTTCCAGTATCGGCTGGCCTGAAGGCTGGTGAGTTTGCATCCTGGTCTCAGATTGATGAATTGAGGCAAATAGAGTGTAACAAAAGAGCCCTGGTGGTGCAGTGGCTAAGTGCCCAGCTGCTAACTGAAAGGTCGGAGGTTCAGAACCCACTAGCTGCTCCTCAGGAGAAAGATGTGGTAGTCTGCTAGCCTAGGAAACTGTGTGGGGTAGTTCCACCCTATCCTATAGGGTCACTATGAGTTGGAATCAACTTGACAGTAATGCATCTGGCTTTGGTTTTGTTTTGTTTTTACTGTGTAGTAGCCATAAGATATTGGGAAATGCCCATTGCGTAGGAAACTGCTGATGTGGGGCTGACAGAGGTAGTTCCCCAATACAGTGGGGCTTGTCCCTCTGCTTCCATGGTTAGTCTTCCTCAAGGTCCAGAGCAAGCCAAAAATGGGGCCAAGCACCTCCTAGCTTCCAGAATGCTCTAAGACTGAGTCACAGACTCAGTTGAGTCACTCACTGTGAGTTTGCAATGGGTTCCTTCTGGCTTAGAACCTACCTGGGACCATCAATGAAGGGCCTGCTTATCTTTCCACTCTCACCCCTTCTCTTGGCTCTTCAGCAGATCCCCCAAAGGCTGTGGTGTCCCTAGACCCTCCATGGTTCAGGGTGCTTACGAAGGACAGTGTGACTCTGAAGTGCCAGGGAACCGGCCTCCCTGGGGACAATTCCACACAGTGGTGGCACAATAACAGCCTCATCGAAAGCCACAAGTCCAGCTACTTCATCGCAGATGCCAGAGCTGAGGACAGTGGAGAGTACAGGTGCCAGACACGCCTCACCACACTCAGTGACCAGGTGCAGCTGGAAGTCCACATGAGTGAGTTGATAAAGGGAAAGAGGGAAATTACCAAGAAAGTGTGGAACAAGAATCCCTAAAGAATCTGGGAAGAGCCATAACATGATGTTCTTTGGGCTTAAAACTAAGATGAGATTATCTGTGGTGTTACTGAAAGATATCAGAGTTGTAGTCTTAGCTGTGTGGTAGGACTTAGGCAAAATTTCAAAGCCTGGCACATAAAAAATATGGGACTGCTGCATTGCATGAGTCCAGAAATCACCATTAACATAAAATGCATACAATGTGAATGGTGTTGTTACCTGAAGGCCAAGGCACAAAATAGATGTTCAATAAATATTTATTGAATAAATTAATGAATCTGTTTTTAGGACCTCAATTTCTTCTCTCTCTCAGAGAAGTAATACCTTTCAAATAATCCCAAGTCACCTAGCATCATATCTACTCTCCTGCCCATGTCTCTCTCCTGATGAATGTCACTCTAAACAGTCACTTACACTTTATACCATAAAGTTAGTAATGTGATACCTTTCCCAACGGTATGTAGATGTTCAACCTGAACATTAAATAAAGAATGAAAATTCTGTGCACTGTTCATGAAACCCAGGCATTAGGGACAGGCAGAGGAAGTATTTTTGAGGAAGGGGTCATTCCTGGTATCTCTGAAGTCACACCACATAATCTGACACCTGCACTGTCACCTTGCAAGCCTGACTATTTCCATGGCTGCCTCATTTGTACAATGTATATGGGTGGACCAAGTCTGAAAGAGAAGGAAATCCTAAAAGAGGTGAACCTGCAGGATTCCACGGGATTGGGCCTCTAATACTGACATGTATCACTCTTTTGTCTCTGACCGTACCACCCAGATGACATGGTCCTCACTCTTCAGAGCTACAGGAAGGAATATCTAGTACCTAGCCAGGTGATGTTCTTTGGGGTTAAAACTAAGATGAGCTTATCTGTGGTATCACTGGAAAATATCAGAGTTGCAGTCCTAGCTGTACAGTAGATGAAAGGTGAGAGATGGCTACCTAACAAGTGGGGAATTACCATCAAGACACAACAGAAGAATCAAGTCTGTAGGGTGTTTGTTTGCCTTGAACTTGGCTCTAGAAACTAGCTTTAGAAGTCTGGTCAGAGAGAGGACTGTGTTAAATGGTGACCATGAGCATTAGCTTCAACAGGCAAACTCCTGATCATCCTTCAGTACCCATTTCATTTATCCTCACCTTTGAGTGAGAAGTCTTCTTTACTTTCCTTGGGTCTAATTTTCTTTGTTTCTTTCTCTTTGGCCCTGCAGTCATTTGTTCAAAATTTGTTATAGCTATTACATACTATATTGCAATTATTTCTGTGTTTCTATGTCTAGATTCTTGGAGGCGGGGGACCATATGTCTAGTGATCTAAGTATCTCCAGTCTGCAGAATGGCTGGCATATTGGGAGTGAATGGACTATGGACATTCACTGAGACTATGTTAGGACAGATTGGAACAAAAATTGTTCCCCTGAAGGCCTCTGGACTACATATCAAACATAATCTTACGCTAGTAAAATGATTCCTCTGTCTACTAAAAATGTAAGTGGATATATAGGCACATAGCTTTTGTTTTGCTTTGTTTTGATAAACAATATGGGTTAAGAAGTAACACAGGGTACTTAGCATATTTTCCTAATAGAACATGTTTATCAAAACACATTCTACCAATTTTGTTTAGCCTAAGGCAGTAGATTTTTTAAAATGAGAGTAAATTTTATGATTTTGTTCTTATACAAAAGTCATTCATGTTCAGTTTCAAAAGACATAAAAGTAAAAGGAAGAAAAGTAAAATGAACTGTAGTCACCTCCCAGAGAAAAGCCCATTAATGTTTAAGTGCATAGCCTCCTTTTTTTTTTTGCTGTGTATATCTACTTTTTTGTATCTACCTTTTTAACTTTTAACTCAGCATTGTCTCATAAATAATTTTCATGGCATTATAATATTTGTTTTGCAATATCACTTTTAATTATTCAGGTCCCCTCCTGACAGTGCTTCATCGTTTCTCTGTGTTACCATAGAATCGGATCACTTGGCAAAAGAGTTGTGAGAACTAGTGTCCTTGTGAAACAAGAATTTTCTCCCTTGAAGGCCATGTTCAATAATGAGGCCCTGTGGCCATTCAGAAATCACCAGTTACCCATGATCACCTCCAGTCACACCTTCTTTTCCCCTTCCTGATTTTTACATTGAATATGCCATAATTTCTGCAGCCATTCCTGTAGCCTCCCATTCAAAGTCTTCTTTCAATATTCCTACTTCCCACTTGCCCCAAGTCACCATTTTCAAAATGCAATTTTTACTCTGACCTAAAGCTTACTGTGACTCCTTATTACCTGCCATAGCAAATCCAAGTTTGCCATCATCCCCAGTAAGAACATTGTCTTCTGCCCATTTTACAAGCTCAAACCTCTCTTTGCCTTCAATAACCAAATTAAACCTCACCACTTCCATGGAAACTTCCATGACCCCATTAGACAAAATCTTGGTGTGATTTGAGTTCTCTTGCAGGGCCCAATTGGCTTTTTCCCAAAGGAGGCTATATGGGGATGGATCCCAGTGTAACTTTCCATTTTCTTCAGGATCTAGGGGTGGGAGGCAGAGGAGGGAGAGGAAGGTGAGTAGGGGTAAGAGTTCCCTTCACAAGAGCACTATTCTAAGAGTTGAGGCTGTGTCTTTCAGGCTGGCTGTTGCTCCAGACAGTTCAGTTGGAGTTCCAGGAGGGGGAGGCCATTCAACTGAGATGCCACAGCTGGAAAAACACCGTTGTGCAAAAAGTCACGTATCTTCGGAATGGCAAAGGCCAGAAGTATTTTCATCAGAATTCCCTCTTCTGCATTCCAAAAGCAACACGTAATGACAGTGGCTCTTACTTCTGCAGGGGGCTTATCGGGAAAAAAAATGAGTCTTCAGAGACTATAAACATCACTGTTCAAGGTGAGAGATGTGCAGCCCTAGAGAGCCCCACCTCCCTGTGTGTGGAACCTTGCACTCACATGGAGATGGATTGGTAGGGAATTCCTAACTGTTCTACAAACTTCTTTACATGCAGTTCCCTCTTGGTGGCTGGCAGAGAACCTGACAGACCCTGCTGACTAGGTAGATTTGAGTTCTGTTTCAGCCTGTTCCTTAAGGGCAGCTGAGCAGTGTCATTCACTCTGTGACAGCAGGGGCAAAAGCCACATTTCCTCCAGTCTTATTTATCCCATTCAAACCGCACCTGTGATGTTATGTGTCCTGATGATGCTGGCCCATCTTTTCCTGCCCTCTTTTCCCTTCCAAGACTCAAGTCTTCACTAAGAATCAAACTGAGAGGAACTTCTCACGGCCTCACAAAAAGGCCCAGAACCCAGGTTTGGACTTGCTGGTAATTATGTGACTCTGGGTGAGTCACTTAGTCTCTCTGAACTTCAAATTCCTCTTTGGGTTTGGTTTTTTGTTTGTCTGGTTGGTTAAGGCAGCAAAATAAATACACACCTTTTGAAACTTTAACAAAACAATGCCATCATTTGCATACAAAACGATTTCATTACAATTTAAATTGTCTGTAACAAAGACAAGCTGACATTTATTGTCCACCTTTTAATGGTCTGGACACTGTGCTAATGTTTCTTTACATGTACCTAGTTTGATGATTCTCGTGGACCCTCACAACATTATGAGATGGGCAAATATTATTTTACAGATGCAATAACTGAGGCACAAAAAAAAAAAAAAAAAGGAATTTGTTCCTAAGGTCATACCATGAAGGAACTGTCTTCAAAACCTATATGTTTAACCATTAGGTAAAATGGGAGAATTGAACAAGCACCAATATCCCATGACAGAATTGTAAGCACCATTAAATCACCTAGGAAGCACCTTCAGTTTCTGTAGTCCCAACTTCCAGGGTCAGAAAGCCCCTAACACAGTGTCTGCTGACTCCCTGGTTTCACGGACATCTATTTGTAACAGTACCAAGATCCAGTTTATAAGTCGTAAGGCCTAGGTGGCACAAGTGGTTTGTGACTGGCCTCTTACCTAAAGGTTAGTGGTTCAAACCCACCAAGCCATTCTGAGGAAGAAAGACCTGGCAAACTGCTTCTATAAAGATTGCAGCTAAGAAAACTCTTTGGAGCAGTTCACCCTGTAATGCTTGGTGTTGCTGAGTCTGAGTCAATTCAAGGAAGCAAGAGGTTTGTTGTTATTTTGATGTTGTAGTAGTTAAAGCAGCAAAATAGTCACACTTTTTTGAGACGTTAACAAAACAATGGGGTAGTTTCCATGAAAAATAATTTCATTGCAATTTAACTTGAAAGTAAATATTCTCAAATGACTGGAGAGCAAATGAGAAAGTAAATGGAGCACAATGAAACAATGAGTGAATCTGGGAGTTCTTTATATTATCCTAGCAACTTGTGTAAGGTTGAAATTACATCAAAATCAAAACTTTAAAGAAATGGAAAGTAATTCACTGTAATGTTACCAGTTTGTAGACAACAGCAAGGAATGACTTAAAAATAACAATATGAATATTAAGGAATACAAAGATGAGAATGAACAAATTCTACGTCTTTCTCCTTCGTGCTATTAGTTGCCTCAGTAAAAGAATACTATCAATTTTCTGCCTATGAATAGCAAAGGTCAGGGGGTCCCTTTTTTGAGATTTTCTTTTGTGATAACAAGCAACATAGGATGAAAACAATGAGCGTAAGTTTGGGGCACTGAGTTAAGAAATAACGTTCTTACACAAACTTCAACTTTGGCAACTTTCCTAATTTCACACGAGACCCAGTTATGACCTCGCTTTTTCAACTCTCCTTGTCATATCCCTCCACCAGATGAGAACAAGCTTTTACTAAATGTTTGGTAAGTTGTGCTCTCTGCTCAAGTCGCCCTAAGATCAGATGTCAGTGGAGGAGTGGGAGGAAGCAAAAGCCTCCCCCCATCCCCTAGAACCTGTCTCTTCACAGGTGTTAGGAAGCCTCCTCATTGATGACCTTACTATTTATTTCAAATGTTCACCTAAGGCCTGTCATTTTTCTTATCCTTCTTCCTCTCCTACTAGGTTCAGAAATTCCATCAATCTCATCATTCATTCTACCTTGGCACCAAGTCATTTTCTGCCTGGTGATGGGTCTGCTGTTTGTAGTGGACACAGGCCTGTATTTCTCTATGTGGAAAGCCCTTCGAAGCTCAATGAGGCTGGAAGAACTGCAAAGACAGATGGAGCTGGAACCCTCAGGAAAATGATCCCACATCCCATAGGGTACTAACGGCATTGGCAGCAGCATCTCTGAACCTCTCTCTATATTCACAACTCCATCAGCCCTAACACTCGTGTCTGAAAGCCGCTGGAGAAATATACCTCAGAGCCTACCTGAGCCAACCTTCTATTTTCTCTTGGTCTCCAATGAAAGAAAGAGACTGTGATCTTTAGGTACAAACAGTAGAGCCCCAGTGAGTAGCTACGTTCGCAGGAATTGAAGTCTCTGAGCTACACAGATATTTTCTCTGTCCCGATCATTCCCTTATAGTAAAGCAACAACACGGGCTCTGGATGGTGATCCTTTATCTGTATAAACATTGTTCCAAAAAGAAATGGATAAGAAGATAAGTGGATTCATAGTTGAGCAGGGCCAGCGGCACAGTTGGTCTACATCTGCTTCTCCAGGGCTGGTTACTTTTTGGCTATCCCAAATCTCCCTCCTAGTGTGGGAACTACTGGAATCTAGGGGAAACAGAAGAGCTAATGCAGGTGCTGACTGAGATAAGTTAGTGTAGTCCAGGACAGTCCAGGGGAGGTTCTTCCAGGCTCAGAGATAAAGTTCTCTTCCTGGGACACAAGCCACGGTTGAGGTAACAGGCAATGATTACAAGATGATGGAGAATTAAATTTTTCAGGGGAGACCCTGTCAGAATTGGAATGGTCTTTTGAGTATATAATGAGGAACTCTTTAATGTTCCTCATTATTTTAAAAGAATTATGAGTAGAAAAGGGACCAGGATTGGGGGCATGGGGAAGTTTGGAAGAAAAAAACAAAGAACAAAACTGATGTCTCCAGGAAGTAGAGCAACATCGCTTTCTCAAGTTTCTCAGGTTAAGCTATGTGAACAGAGGATATCTCAGTTACTAAACTAAGAAAGTACGACAAGAAAGCGTTAACCACAACCGCCCAGGAAGGAATGGACAAGTAGCAAAAATGCATTTTTTTTTTTTTGTCAGGTTAATAATAATTAGAGAGAGGAGAGGCAGGGATTATAAAATTAGCTTTTCTGCTTCAGTGTCTAACTTGAATGTAGCTTTACTCCTGTCATTCATTAAACAAATATTGGATCATCAAGACTAAGTGTACTGAACTCTACTGAGCTAAATTATGAAATATTGAAATTCCTCTCAGCATGTCAGTAACAATGGGATGGGGATGGAGAAGGCAATCATTGCTGATGAAAAATTAAAGCTATCTCTTTCTGTTTTGGAAACTTTAAGCAGAACATTTCTTGATTTTAATAAAGCATTTTAAAAGATCGTGCATGCTACTGTCAGATGGAAAAACCATGATAAGCCATGAATGGCAAAATCCCTTTTTCCTCTCATTGCTCAAAATTCTATCAGAGATTTATTTCAATTGATGAGAAAATGTCTCTCTCGGCAACCACCTTATCACAATTAGTACAATTTAGCCAACTTGCTTCCCAATCTTGTTGAAACAAAGGAGCCCTGGTGGCACAGTGGTTAAGTGCTTGGCTGCTACCAAAAGGCTACCAATTTGTACCCATACAAGTGGGAGGAGAGGAATTTTTGTGAGTGGTATGGGATGAGACTATGAATGGAAAGTAAGGATAGTTTAAAAGCATGGAAAAGAATCCCAGTTAGCTGGGCTGCTAACTGAATCCACCAACCCCTCTGTAGAAAAAAGATGTGCCAGTCTACTCCAGGAAAGATTATACACAGCCTTGGAAACCTTATGGAGAAATTCTACTCTATCTTATAGGGTCATTGAGTTGGGACTCAATAGCACCAGGTTAGGTTTGGTTTTAGAGTGTGGGGCAGGTAGGAAAAGGGACAGCTAACTAGGCAGAATACTAGAGGTAGGGGCCTAGGCAGAGGTATAGGAACAGCTTGGTATATGACTATTGCATGAGATTCAGATGTTCTAAGAATACATTTGGAAACACTGAACATTCAACTCATTTTTATTTAGTACCTACAATGTGCCAAGCTTGAGTTTAGGTGTTGAGAATATCAAGATGAACACCACAATGTCATTCCCTCAAGGCAATTTCATTCTAGTGAGAAACAGGCAAATGGGGAGAGAGTGAAATAAAGAAAGGACTTCAGAGAAGAGACTTAATTCTTGGTGTGGACATGAAGGAAAAGCCATCAAAGGTCCGTGCACAAAGATTCAAAATCCAAGAAACCCTTTGATTCTATTGGGATCTAAAGGGTTAATGAGGGAGTGAAGAAAGTTCCAGGAGCCAGATCCTGAAGGGCATTCCCTTCCAAGTTAAAGAGGTTGCACCACACTCTGCAAACTATTGAGAAACTTTAAGCAGAGGAATGGCGTGATCTAGTTTGCATTTTGGGACTCTGGCAGTCACTTGGAGGATGGACGAGGGAGGAGAACTGAAGACAGTAAACCAGCTAGGTTGGTTAGATAATTATTACAGTAACTCAAGGGGAAGTAATGAGGAAGTAAAACTGTGGCAACGAGGCCGGAGAGAAAGTGCTTATTCATCAGATATATAGGATTCTCCAAGAATTGTTAGTCAGTACGGACGTAGCCGAATGAGGACCCGGAGTCCCAGATTTCGGACGTGGTGCCGTTTCGTGAGTTGGGAAATAAAAAGGCAAGAAAAGCACAGGTTTTGTAGGAAAGATTTAAAAATTCGTCTTCGGATTATTAGTATTTACTTCCTTCAGTCGGTCAATTTTCTTAAAATCTTAGTTTCTTGAGGAAATTTTAATGCAACCAAAATTGAGTAGCTTAAACTTCTATTAATTGCAACTCTAATCGTTCAGACCAAATGATTCATAACTTCTAGCGAAATACTTACTTAAGATACTAAGTTAGGATGGTTGCAAGCTGTGAAGAGAACTAAGCAGCTCCGAGCAATGCGGACAGTGGCCATTGCTTCCGGTAGCTAACAAAGGAAACGATTTGCGGTTAAAGAGGAAAGACTTTCCAGTATGGGTTCAAAAACGTCCCCGACTGAGCTCGAACCACCAACCTTTCAGTTAATAGCCCAGCGCGCTAACCGATTGCGCCACAGAAACTGACACGGAAGTTGCTTTCCGCCAAGTTAGTTCACTGAAGATGTAACTTGTAGTGTTCGCTCTCTTCAATTTAAAAAATAAAAAAATAAAGTGGTTGTAAAATTTCTGGGTAGGAACTATTGAAGCCTTATATAGGAACCTATAGAGCTGTCACCTTTCCACTCACCACGCTGAGGTCAGTAGCCCCGAGAGAGACAAGTCTTTTTCCCGCGCTTGCAACTGCTTAGGTGTGAGACAGTACTTAGTTTCTACACAGATCTGGATGAGAAAAGGAGAGCAGAAAAGAACGAATGAACGAAATCTTTGGAGAGTCCAAAATGAATGCTTTCTGTGGGCTCAGGAGTTCATATGGTTTTGCTGAAAGACTTGTGTCAATAAATTCTTTTGTAAAAATAAGTTCTTAAACTATATGTGTGTCTGGAGGCTCAAACCCGCCAGCACTGCTCTGAAGGAAGGTTGGGCAATCTACTTCCGTAGTGATACAGCCTCGGAAACCCAAGGAAGGATCGTTATGAGTCGGATCCGACTGGATGGCAGTGGGTATACGTGTGTGTGTACATGTGTATAGACTCATAGTAAGTTTATTATTATGCAACTTGAAATACTGTATCGAGTATCCAATCAAGTACGGTAAGGGAGCTTCATATAACAAAATTAACATCTTCAACTCCACGTGTTTTGAGAGGTTTCTGCTAACACATTAGGCACCCAAACAGAACCCAGTCTTTCGCTTAAGGACTTTAACTCTGACGTATCCTGTCAAAAATATTTGCCGGACGAGACCCTTTAACCCACCATCACCAACACAGGTCTCCTCTTCAGTGCTGGCCCTAAGGCTCTTTACTTCTCTGTTCCCTGGACTCCAGGGACTTCAGATGGTCCAGTTCAGTTCTCTACCATGAGCTATTTAATAGCCACAGGCTTCCTTAATCATATCATCTCCACTCAGCCAAACCCACTCCACCCACCACACCCAATTCTTTGCCTGCGCTCAGGCACAACAAGCAGCCATTTTCTATATTGCCCAAGTTGCTGGGCTCACGGTAGCCTCCACAAAGAACCTCGTTCTTCCTTTCTGCATCCTCATCTCTAATCAGTGGGCTCCAGGTTAGGTGCGGATAAATTTTCACTGATAATCAGTGAAATGAGAGAGAAAAAAACAAACATAGATTATATATGTATTGTTGTTGTTGTTGTTATTTGCCGTCGAGTCGGCCCCGACTCATAGCGACCCCTCCTTGGGTTTCCGAGGCAGTATCACTACGGAAGTAGGATTGCCCAACCTTCCTTCTGAGGAGTGTATTATATTCTGAAAATATACATATATTCAAGGTATTTGCCAACTGGCTTTTAAACTGAGATTATGTTTTCTACAACTTAAAAATTTTATTTTTAAATGTCCTTTTTAAAATAAAATTATGATGAGAGAGATGATAGCAGTTGTGATCGTGGTGGTTGTACTAATTCTCTAACTTGGCAAAATAAAAAGTTGGCCATGTTATCTTGGTCACCAACATTTTGGGGGAAATTTTACTCATCTGTCAAGCCTAATATTGGAAACCACTACTCTGATCTTCACTTCCTTTACTGGATTGGTAACAAAAATAAAAAGTTAATACTTTTGAGCAACAAGAGGAAAAAAAATAGATACACTGGAGTTCATCAAAATTAAAAACATTTATATATCAGGGGACATTATCAATAAAGTGAAAAGATTACCTAAGAAATGGAAAAAAGTACTGGGAAACCACGGGAGTTTAATATCCAGAATATATAGATTGATTGACTGTACATTATTCTCAAAGGCACATGGAACATTTATGAAAACTGACTATATACTAGGCCATAAAACAAGTCTCAGCTTGTATCATGATACTGGTATTTGTCTTAGTTTTCGAGTGCTGCTATGACAAAATAAACAAGTGGATGGCTTTAACAAACAAATAATAATCCTCTCAGTTTAGGAGGCTAGAAG